AGAATGAAACCAAGAGCTAGTTCTATTTTTTCTAAAGTCAAAATATTCTTCCTCCTTAGGTCTCATGAAAATGAATAAGTTTTAAAAACATAAAACTACAACTACATATGGGGAGTCCACAGACAAATTTCTAAAAGTTTCTGAATAAAGAAAGCAGATGGAGTAACTAGTAACTGACACTGAGGCAGAAAATGCTGCAGCTTCTCGTGCGCACAAGCAGGAGGCCACTTTGTCCTGCTGCTTTGGAAAAATAGCAGAAGAAAAGAGAGAGAGTGGGAATGGAGCTGCCAAGAAGGAATTAACAATGTCTGTATTTAGAACACACAGTTCCCCACCTTTGAGCTCAAAATACTCATAGCCATGGTACTGCCCAAGCAGTAAAACAAAAAATTTTCTGCTGTAGAGAAATGAGACAGCCCAGAGAAAAAGACCGTTCATATTTAATTCAATGAGCTGTCTACTTAGTATTCTTTCAAAAATTCCTCATCTTGATTGCCTGGCCACAATCAGTTCCTATTGCTTGCAACCAAAGAACTCTAACCAATAGTCTTTTAGAATGGCAATTTGTCAATATCTTTTTTTATAAGTTTTACCGAGATACAATTTATATAGCACAAAGTTTACCATTTAAAATACACAATACAATGGTTTTAGTATATACACAGAGTTCTGCAACCATCACTATAATTTTAGAACATTTTATCATCCCCCCAAAAAACCTTGTACTCACTTGCATCATTCCCCATACCCACCTATATCCTTATCTCCTCATCCTCAGCCCTAGAAAACCAACAATCTTTTGGCTCTCTATATATTTACCTATTCTGGGTTTCATATATATCAAGTCATACAATACGTGGTCTTTTGTAACTGGCTTCTTTAAGTCAGTATAATGTTTTTAAGACATCCACATTGCAGTATATATCAGAACTTCATTCTTCTTATCCTATACTAGAGGCCCGACGCACAAAATTTGTGCAAGAGTAAGCCTTCCTTCCCCCAGCTGCTGGCACCAGCTTCCCTCTGGCACCCAGTACCCGGGCTTCCCTCCAGCCACCAGCAGGCACCCCGGACCTGGGCTTTGCTCCGGCTGCCAGCAGGCACCTGGGACCCAGGCTTCTCTCCGGCCCCAGCTTCATCCAGAAGGACTCCAGAGTGACTTCTGGTCTAATTAGCATATTACCCTTTTATTATTATCTATACTAATAAAAGGGTAATATGCTAATTAGATTGGGAGACCTTCCGGTCATCCTTCTGGACAAAGCCATGGTGGTGGGGCTGAGGCAGAGGCGGTTAGGGGTGATCAGGCCAGCAGGGGAGGGCAGTTGGGAGCAAGCAGGCCGGTGGGTGGGGGGGGAACAGTTGGGGGCGAGCAGGCCGGCTGGGGGAGCAGTTGGGGATGAGCAGGCCGGCGGGGTGGGGTAGTTGGGGGCGAGCAGGCTGGCAGGCAAAGTGGTTAGGCGTGATCAAGCGGGAGATCAGGCTGGAAGGGGGGGGCAGTTGGGGTTGATCAAGCCAGCAGCAGTGTGGTTAGGGGCGATCAGGCAGGCAGGCAGGCAGGCGAGCGGTTAGGAGCCAGCAGTCCCAGATTATGAGAGGGATGTCCAACTGCCAGTTTAGGCCCAATCCCCGAGGGGTCCCAGATTGGAGAGGGTGCAGGCCGGGCTGAGGGACACCCCCTCCCATGCACGAATTTCATGCACTGGGACACTAGTAGATAATAAAAGCCTAATATGCTAAGTGTTCAGTTGTCCGTTCAACCAAAGTGTAATATGCTAATGATATGCTAAGGCCGCTCAACCGCTCGCTATGACGTGCACTGACCACCAGGGGGAAGACAGTCGACTGGTCGACCAGTTGGTATGATTTGCACTGACCACCGGGGGGCAGACAGTCAACCGGTAGGTTAGCTTGCTGCTGGGGTCTGGCTGATCGGGACTGAGCGAGATGGGATGGACATGCCCTGGAGCCCTCCCACAGTCCCTCCCTGGCTGGGCCAACCTCCCGCGTCCCTGATCATGCACCAGTGGGGTCCCTCAGCCTGGCCTGCACCCTCTCACACTCCGGGACCCCTCAGGGGATATCAGAGAGCCAGTTTCAGCCCAATCCTGCAGGCCAGGCTGAGGGACCCCGCTGGTGCACGAATTCATGCACCGGGCCTCTAGTTGCCAAATAATATTCCACATATGAATATACCACATTTGTTTATCCATCCTTCACTTGATATTCATGTACACTGTTTCACTTTTTGGCTATTATGAACAATGCTGCTATAAACATTCATGTACAAATTGTTGTGTGAACATATCTTTTTCTTTTCTCTTGGTTATTAGATACCTAACGAAATTTCTCAGTCATATGGTTGGTTAACATTTTGAGGAACTGTTAGACAATCCAGTGCTAATTTTTAAAATCACACACACACATGAAGTATACCCTGTGATCCAGCAATTAGTAAAATTACTAAGCCTAGTAATCTGTTCTATAGAAATAAAGATTTACAAAGTTGTTCATTATAGTACTGCCTATAACATCATAAGACAAACAATGAGACAAGGAAAAAGAATAATAGTTTGAAACTGAAATAGTCTAAAAAGACAATTACTAAGTAAAACGTGAAATCCTGGACCAGAAAGGAAAGAAAGGACCAGAAAGGTAAAGTTTCTGCCTTTTTTTTTTTTTCTGATAAGATCAATTGAGATAACGATTGATATCCATATGACCGTTCATCAAAAAGGGGATCTTTAGATAATTCACAATATATCTATAAGTGAATATGATGTAACTATTAAAAAAGAACTTCTATTCATTTCTTAGTTTAGACACTATTTCCTCCTGATACTCAGGCCAAGAGCAGGTTAAACAACTCTCCTATAGAATCTTGCAGCCAACATTTTTATCATCTTGTATTAACACTGCCTGCTACTTAAATATTAGGTTAAAAAAACACATTTCCTATAAGATATGAAAGTTAAGAGGAAGAATGAACAAAACTAGCAGAGAAGAGAGGAAAAGGTGGAGGACAGGATTAATAGGCAATGGGGAAGCCATGAACAAAAGTCAGAGGCAGAGAAGGAAAGGGAACTGAAAACATTCAGTACTGCCACAGCTTAAAATGTAGTGATAGTGGTGCTGGAGGCAGGGAGCAGGATGAAGTGGTAAGAAATGAAACTGACCCTGGCTGGTTTGGCTCACTGGATAGAGCGTCAGCTTGTGGACTGCAGGGTCAAGGGCACATGCCCGGGTTGTGGGCTCAATCCCCAGTGTGGGGCATGCAGGAAGCAGCCAATCAATGATTCTCTCTCATCATTGATGTTTCTCTCCTCCCTTTCTCTCTGAAATCAATAAAAATATTTTTTTAAAAAGAAATCAAGCTAAAGAAGTAGAAGCCAGCTCATGAAAGGACTCAAGAAGTCTAGACATTAACCTCATGTTATTAGAGAGTCACTAAGGTATGAGAAACAGTGTGGAGATGGATTGGAGGAAGAGAAGGATAAGTTGGCAGACAGTTACAAGGCTGTGGTGAGTAGCCTTAGAAAGGAGAATGTGAATCAAGTAGAGAAATTAGGAAGGAGAATTCACTGGATTTGGTGATGGGATGTGAGGTACAGCTGAAAGGAAGTAGTCATGACAAAAACCCACTTTAAAAACATAAATGATAAACAAGAGGTGACCTAAGTGACATTGTAGGGGCAGTCATGATGCTAACTTCTTTATCAACATGTTGAAGAATGGCTGGCAAAGAGATTTTAAAAATAAGAAAAGGCAGATTATCAAGAGGGCTGACTTTATTTTTCCATACTCAATCCATAATTATGGAGTAACTACAATAGCCTTCTATGGCACCCAATACAACTTTGAGTATTGGGCTCCAAAGAGGAAAAGAGTCATCATACTCTGAAAAATTGAGCAAATACAACCTGGAGTGAGCACTAACAGGGAGCCATGACCTGCAATGGGAATGATATGGGAAACTACAGTCTGAGTCATATTCTTTTTTCACATGTTAGCATTTCACCAAGTGAGTATAAATATTAAGTCTTAATCATAATACAACTTTTGAACAATGTGAATCTTAACCAAAACTAACTACTTCACCTGGTATTCAAGTGAAGAAATCTAGATCTGAGGAATGCCAGTCTCTAATACAAGACAGATATGACTTATGTAGGAACCACATCTTACTCTCCTAGATCCTTAATTTTTTTTAAACTTTCCATCATTCTTCAAAAAAGATGGTCTATCATGGACCAGACTGTCGAATTGCAGAGGGAAGGCGGGGTGGATGCGTGGGTGGGAAGAGATCAACCAAAGAACTTGTATGCATGTAAGTATAACCCATGGAAACAGACAATAGGGTAGTGAAGGCCTGAAGTAGGGGGCGGGGGCAGGCTAGAAGGGGGGGTCATTGTGGGGGGAAGGGAAAGGGGGACATATGTAATACTTTCAACAATAAAGATTAAAAAAAAAAGTATGTGCTACAAGAAAGTGAATATTTCTCTCCTTAAAACTTTCTGCTCTTCACCTTAATATATATATAGCCTACAGCTTTTAAAATGAATTTTCCAATTAAATGTTGTTTCCTTGGTTAAGGCACAAAGGAACCAAGAATCTGGCTATACTTCAAGTTTTCCAAAGCCATACTAAATGGTAATGCAGGGTAGGATAAAAGTTAGCAACTAAAGTGACTCAATTTTTCTATATAACTTCCTCTGTCATTTCTAAGTTAAAAAGAAAAGAAAACAAAAAGAACTGGCTCAGTACTTCTGATAGCAACCTTAAGCCATGTAAATCATCAGAAAGTGGGAAGTGCTAAAGTTTATTCCCCACAGCACTGAGCAAGTCCTAGATAATGAGTAATCAATTGATACTTGTTAAATATTTAAAGAGTGTATCTGCTGTTACCAGTTAAATTAAAAGTCTAGGATAATAATGCTTTTATCAAGATTTACCCTTTATAAAACTTTGAAAATACCAATGAATCATTTAACAAAACTTACCTGCTACTGTGAGCTTGGCTGTTCTGCTGACAATAGTTCCAAGACTCTCAACAGTGGCCACACACTGATAATAACCTTCATCAGGTTTATTGTGTTTGGAATGCACCACATTGCTGATAAATAAAGACCCATCTGGGAGAAGCTGGCGTCGATCATCTGATACTAAATTTAAAAATGTTCCATCTTTTTTCCATTCAATTTTTGGAGAAGGCTGAGAATATGCTGAACAATTTAATACAACAGAAGAGCCTCTAGTTGAGAGTGTATCCATTGGCTCCACCAGAAAATAAAATGGAGTGAATGTTCGAATGCTGGATCCTACAAAAATAATAAAAAAAAAGGAACAAAGTTATGAAAAACTTCCTTCTACTATTTCAGTAAGAAAATATATTGTGTCCAAAAATTATTTACAAATAGTTAAGTTCTGAGGGTATGATACATAAATAAAGTCATTTTACTATGAATATCTAATAAATAAATATTATCTTTTACTAGGAAATCAAAATTTGACCCATTTAGAAGAACATTAGAAGAATGATCCATGATAGTCATGGAGGAGGTGGACATTATACTCATCTCTTCCCATACCCAAACTGTAATTACAACTAAACTTAAGAACAATCACCCTGAATAACCATCTGAAGACTAGCTGAAAAGAAGTCTTATTACCAAGGATTTACAGAAGAACCCACACTGAGACTGGTAGGAAGGGCAGAGATGCAAAAAGGGCTGGCCATCTCAGCTGCAAAGGTGCCCATGAGGAGCATGTGGTCTTAACCTCATGCCAGGCTCCCCAGCCCAGAGCACCAGAGCTGGGATGAGGAGGCCACATAACATCTGGCTGTAAAAATCAGCAGGGATTCTGTCTACCAAGGAGAAACAAGAATCTGCTAGAAACCCAACCATCCTCTTAAAGGGCCGAGGCACAAAATCTTATTTGCGGCCACTCACCCTAGGCTCCAGCAGAGGGAGGGTGGATCGGAGCAGAGTAGAGTCCTGTAAAGGAGAGATTGAGTTGTGTGGCTTGAGAGAGAGAGAGAGCTGAAGGGACAGCCGCCAGGGTCCATGTAATGAGTCCCTCCCTATATCACCCACAGATGCCATATTTCAGGGTGACCACTCCCCTCCATACCACATCAGCCTGAAGAAATGCACTAGTCCCATCCTCCCAACTCGCAGTCATCCTGCACTGCCAGGCTCATGCCCTGCAGAAAAGTCAGCTGGATGTGTGGCCTGTGGTGAAGACTTTCATGAAAGACTCCTGAAGAAGTCCAGGTAGACTGGAGGAGAGACTGAGTTGTGTGGCTTTAAAGTGGGGGCCATTTTTCCCTCGCACTTTTGATGGACGCCACCTTTCCTATGCAAAGCCCTCCCTGCACATGGCCAAATCTTGGTGGTTTTAGCCTGATGAACTCTGCTGCCCTCCACAAAGGGTGGCAAGCTGGCCTTGTATCCTGAGACTTTTACTGAGTGGCCTCAAAACCAGCACCAGTGTTGAGGTTGAATCTGTATCAATCTGGCGAACACCACTCACTCCTACCTGGTGATGAACTGAAAAACTACCTCATGCAACTCGTGTACTACCCAGACGCTCTTTAAGTGACAGAGCCTTATAGGCAGCAAGCATGTGGATGCAGATCTCAGGGTGCCTTGGGTCTTTTGCAGACCAACCCCTGGGCTCTGCACTGATGGAAGAAAAGTTTGATGTACAGCTTGGCCCCTCCCATGCATCCTGACAGCCAACAGAAGCAGCCATAAACTATAGATTGCTTTATAGCTCCAAACAGGTGGCCCAGGGCCAGTCACAGGCAGTGCTTGGCAGTGACCTGCCCCAGAGTCCCTCCCAAGAGGCCCCAGAACAACACACCCGGTGGCGGACTTCACACCACATCAGAGCATGGAACAATTAGCTCCACAAGCGGCACACCCAAAGATCTCAGCACATACCAGGCACTGCTGGGGACAAATCCACTTCGTGGGGTCAGTCCTCGCTCAGAAGCTGGTCAGGGTCAATCCCCATAGTCAGTCAGTCTGAGGGCCCACCCCACTGACAGATGGGCCAACAGCAATCAAGACTAAATTACAATGGGAGATTTCAACAAGGAACATTCCTGTAGCACCTTGCTTGATTGCGCCACTAAGCCCCACAGGACACCTACTACAAAAGGCCACCATACTAACACTGGGAGGCAGAGTAGATCTACCTAATGTACAAAACAAATCGAGAGAGGCAGCTAAAACGGAGAGACAAAAAGCATGTTCCAAATGAAAAATAAAAAAATAAGAGAAATCCCCAGAAAAAGAACTAAATGAAATAGGCAAGCAATCTACCAGATAGAGTTCAAAACAATGGTTATAAGGATGCTCAAATGAACATAGGCGAAGAATATATGAACTCAGTGAGAACTTAAAAAGATATTTAAAATAAAAAAGGAATAGAAGCCATTAACTGCTGGGGTCCAACCCCAGCAGGTCCAGGGGTCCCCAAAGGTGTGGACGGAGTCGGCAAAGAAGGAATGACACAGAGACAGCCTTCAGTTGATCAGCAGCCTAGCCAGGATCTCTAGCCAGGATCTCCAGCCAAGTTCTGGTCAGGATCTCCAGAGAAGTTCTGGTGCCATGTTCTCTTGCTAGGTTCTCCTGGGAGGTTCTGGTTAGGATCTCCAGCCAGGTTCAGTCACCAGGTTCTAGTCAGGTTCTCTTGCCATGTTCTATCCAGGTTCTGTAGCCAGGTTCTGTCTCTAGGTTCTGTGTGTGTTCTCTTGTTACATCCGCATTTATACCAGTTGATTCCAATCCTATCAATCTCTATTCCCAAGGTTAGGGCGTTTCTTATCTCCATTCCAGGGAGCAAAGATTATGTAGCTTAAGTGTGATTGTTTGTAGTTAAAGTGATTAACTACCCGCCTGGCACTTAGTTAAGGGGTTTTATCCCCTCCCTAACTTCAGGGAAAAATCCCTACCTGGGGAAACAACCTTTCTTGGAGAGGTGACCTTGGTTAAAACACATAGCGCCAAGAAGGTGAGCAAACATATTAAGAACAGTATGCCATATATGCCAGGTCCCTTGAAACAGCAAGGATGGACCGGCTCCCGGCAATTAACAAGTCCTAAATAAAGACTACAATATCTTAATGAAGAATACATGAGAAAAAAATCAAGAGGAGGTGGGATGACACAGAGTAGTGAATTGGAAATTTGAAAGACAAAGTAGCAGAAAACAACCATGCAGAACAGCAAAAAGAAAAATGAAATTTAAATAAGGTAAGTATTAAGGGTACCAGAAGAGAGAGAGCAAGGAATTGAGCACCTACTTGAAGAAATAGTGACTGAAAACTTTCCTAAACTTGTGAAGGAAAAAAGACAAGTCCAGGAAGCGCAGCGAGTTACAAACAAAATGAACCCAAAAAGGCCCACACCAAGACACATCATAATTAAAATGTCAAAGGTTAAAGATAAAGAGAGAATCTTAAAAGGAGCAAGAGAAGGACAGTTAATTATGGGAGCTACAAAAAGAGCTCCCATATGACCGTCAGCTGAATTCTCAACAAAAACATTTCAAGCCAAAAGGGACCAACTGGCATCAAATATTCAAAGTGATGCAAAGCAAGAACCTACAACTAAGACTACTCTACCCAGCAAGGATATCATTTAAAATTGGAAGAGAAATAAAGACCTTCCCAGACAAGAAAAAGCTAAAGGAGTTCATCACCAACAAACAAGTATTATAAGAAATGTTAAAGAGACTTCGTTAAGAAGGGGGGGAAAAAGAGGAACATAGTTATATAAACAATGGCAATAAATACATACCTATCAATAATCACTTTAAATGCAAATGAATTAAATGCTCCAATCAAAAGACACAGGGTTGCTAAATAGATTAAAAAAATAAGATGCATATATATGCTGTCTACAAGAAACACCTCAGAATGAAAAGATACACACAGTCTGAAAGGGGTGGAAAAATATATTTCAGGCAAATGGAAATGAAAAATAAAACTGGGGTAGCAACACTTATAACAGACAAATTAGATTTTAATACAAAGGCTATAATAAGAAAGTAATTAAATAATGATAAAGGGATCAATCCAACAAGAGAATATAACCCTTGTAAACATTTATGCACCCAACCTAGGAGCACTTAAATATGTAAAGCAAATACTGATGGACATAAAGAGAGAGACCGACAGTAATACAGTCACAGTAGGGGACTTTAACATCCCACTGACATCAATGATAGATCTTCCAGACAGAAAATCAACTAGGAAACAGTGGCCTGAAAGAACACAATAGACCGATGGATTTAATTGATATCTTCAGAGCATTAAACCCAAAGCAGCAGAATATACATTCTTTTCAAGTACACATGGAACATTTTCTAAAATAGACCACATGTTAGGACACAAAACAAGTTTAATAAATTTAAGAAGACTGAAATCATATCAACCATCTTCTCTGACCATAATGGTTTGAACCTAGAAATCAATTACAAGAAAAAAAACGGAAAAACACACAAAAACATGAAGACTAAATAAGATGTTACCTAACAATGAATAATTAACAAGATAAAGGAAGAAATCAAAAGATACCTTGAGACAAATGAAAATGCAGTCTAAAAATTACAATAAGTAAATAAATCAATGAAACCAACAGCTGTTTTTTTGAAAAGATAAACAAGATCAATAAACCTTTAACCAGACTTATCAAGATAAGAGAGTGTACCCAAATAAATAAAATTAGAAATACAAAAAAATTATATGAAAATATCACAAACAACTATATGCCAATAGATTGGACAATCTAAAAGAAGTGGGTAAATTCCTAGAAATATACAATCTTCCAACACTGAATCAAGAGTAACAGAAAAATCTGAATGGAGTGATTAAAACTAATTAAAATTGAAGCATTGATCAAAAATTACTAAGAAACAAAAGTCCAGGACCAAATAGTTTCATAGATGAGTTTACCAAACATTCAAAGGACTAACCCCTATCCTTCTCAAATTATTACAAAAAAATACAAGAGGAGGAAAGATTCCCAAACTCATTTTACAAGGCCAGCATTATCCTAATTCCAAAACCAGATAAAAACACTACAAAAAAAGAAAATTATAGGCCAATATCTCTGATGAACACAGATTCAAAATCCTCACCAAAATACTAGCAAACCAAATTCAGCAATACATGAAAAAGATCATATACCATGATCAAGGGGGACTTATTTCTGGGATGCCAGGATGGTTCGACATCTGTAAATTCAACAAGGTGAAAGATAAAAAACCATATCATAACATCAATAGATGCAGAAAAAGCATTTGACAAAAATCCAGCACCCATTTATTATTTTTTTATCTTTATTGTTGAAAGTATTACATATGTCCCCTTTTTCCCCCCATTGCGCTCTACCCTCCCTCCCTCCCTCCCCACCCCTGGCCTTCACCACCCC